ACACACACCCCGACACACACACACACACACACACACACACACACACACACACACACCCGACACACCACACACACACACACACACACACACACACACCACGACACACACACACACACACACACACACACACAACACACCACACACACACACACACACACACACACACACACACACACACACACACACACACACACACACACACACACACACACACGACACACACACACACACACACACACACACACACCCGACACACACACACACACACACACCACGACACACACACACACACACACACACACACACACCGACACACACACACACACACACACACACACACACACACACACACACACACACACACACACCCGACACACACACACACACACACACACACACACACACACACACACACACACACACACACACACACACACACACACACACACACACACCCCGACACACACACACAGTTTGTGTTAGTATTTCTGTTCTTCAGGGTTCCTCTTGGGCCTGTGTCAGAGTTTGTGTTCCAGTCGATGTGAATCAAAAGCAGGTCCTGGTCCTGGTCCTGGTCTGGTCCTGGTCCTGGTCCTGGTCCTGGTCTTGGTCTGGTCCTGGTCTGGTCTTGGTCTGGTCCTGGTCCTGGTCTTGGTCTGGTCCTGGTCCTGGTCCAGGTCCTGGTCTGGTCCTGGTCCTGGTCCTGGTCTGGTCCTGGTCTGGTCCTGGTCCTGGTCTGGTCTGGGTCTGGTCTGGTCCTGGTCCAGGTCCTGGTCTGGTCCTGGTCCAGGTCCTGGTCCTGGTCCAGGTCCTGGTCTGGTCCTGGTCCAGGTCCTGGTCCTGGTCCAGGTCCTGGTCTGGTCCTGGTCTTGGTCTTGGTCCTGGTCCTGGTCCAGGTCCTGGTCTGGTCCTGGTCCAGGTCCTGGTCTGGTCCTGGTCCAGGTCCTGGTCTGGTCCTGGTCCTGGTCCAGGTCTGGTCTGGTCCTGGTCCAGGTCCTGGTCTGGTCTGTCCAGGTCCTGGTCTGGTCTGGTCTCTTGGTCTGGTCTGGTCTGGTCTGGTCTGGTCTTGGTCTTGGTCTCTGGTCCAGGTCCTGGTCTGGTCTGGTCTGGTCCTGGTCCTGGTCTTGGTCTGGTCTGGTCTGGTCTGGTCGGTCTGGTCTGGTCTTGGTCTTGGTCTGGTCCTGGTCTTGGTCTGGTCCTGGTCTTCGGTCTTGGTCTGGTCTGGTCCTGGTCTGGTCTGGTCTGGTCTGGTCTGGTCCTGGTCTGGTCTTGGTCTGGTCCTGGTCTTGGTCTGGTCCTGGTCTTGGTCTTGGTCTGGTCTTGGTCTGGTCCTGGTCCTGGTCCAGGTCCTGGTCTGGTCCTGGTCCTGGTCTTGGTCTTGGTCTGGTCCAGGTCCTGGTCTGGTCCTGGTCTTGGTCTTGGTCTTGGTCTTGGTTCTGTTGTGGCTGATTTGTCTTTTTAAATGTTTCACTGTAAAAATCTGAAGGTAAAAAGAAAAGACACTTTACTGCACTGGGACTGTTACAAATACTCAGAGTACTACAAAGTACTGCACTAGTACTGCACTAGTACTGCATTAGTACTGCATTAGTACTGCATTAGTACTGCAGTTGGACTCATATCACAGTAACTGCAGGTTTCATAGTTTTACAGAAGTATCATTAAAACATGAACAAAACATCACGAGTCTGCGTCTCTGTCTCCAAATGTCCCACAGTCCCTGTCCTCTGTCCTCTGTCCCTGTCCTGTCTGTCCTCTGTCCTCTGTCCTGTCTGTCCTGTCTCTGTCCTCTGTCCTCTGTCCTGTCCTGTCCTCCCTCTGTCCTCTGTCCTCTGTCTGTCCCTCCTGTCCTCTGTCCTCTGTCCTGTCCTCTGTCCTCTGTCCTCTGTCCTCCTCCTGTCCTCTGTCCTCTGTCCTCTGTCCTCTGTCCTCTGTCCCTGTCCTCCCTGTCCTCTGTCCTCTGTCCTCTGTCCTGTCCCTGTCCTCTGTCCTCTGTCCTCCCCTGTCCTCTGTCCCTCTGTCCCTGTCCTCTGTCCTCTGTCCTCTGTCCTCTGTCCTCTCTGTCCCTCCCTGTCCCCTGTCCTCTGTCCTCTGTCCTCTGTCCCTGTCCCCTGTCCTGTCCTGTCCTCTGTCCTCTGTCCCTGTCCTCCTGTCCTCTGTCCCCTGTCCTCTGTCCCTGTCCTGTCCTCCCCCTGTCCCCTCCTGTCCTCTGTCCTCTGTCCTCTGTCCTCTGTCCTCTGTCCCTGTCCTCTGTCCTCGTCCCTGTCCTCTGTCCCCTGTCTCTGTCCTCTGTCCCCTGTCCTCCCCCTGTCCCCTGTCCTCTGTCCTCTGTCCCTGTCCTCTGTCCTCTGTCCTCTGTCCCCTGTCCCCCATCCTCTGTCCCTGTCCTCTGTCCTCTGTCCCTCTGTCCCTGTCCTCTGTCCCCCTGTCCTCTGTCCTGTCTGTCTGTCCCCCTGTCCTCTGTCCTCTGTCCTCTCTGTCCTCTGTCCTCCCCTGTCCTCTGTCCTCTGTCCTCTGTCCTCTGTCCCTGTCCCCTGTCCTCTGTCCTGTCCCCTCCTCTGTCCCTGTCCCTCCTGTCCCCGTCCTCTGTCCTCTGTCCTCTCCTCTGTCCTCCCTCGTCCTCTGTCCCGTCCTCTGGTGATTCAGTTTTTTAGTTTTTGTTTCGTTCATTTTCTGTTTTCACATTTTTCACTTTCATTTTTCATCGTTTTTCGATTTAATTTATTCATAAAAAAGCCACAAAATAAAAGTTTGCACAAAGACGAGGAGCAATAACCCCGGCTTTTATTGTGAAAATCCTCTTCCTGAACAGCAGAGGCGCCAGGAAATGTTCCGGAGTGTGTCTTTAATCCGTGTCAGCGTCCAGCAGAGGGCGCAGGGACCCGGGGGACACTGCTCTGTGATTGGTCCAGAGTCTGGAGCCGGCGCGGGACAAGCTCAGATTAAAGCCCCACTGCGGAACATTTCCTCACCTGTGTGTGTGAATCTGGGACAGACGCCGGAAAGTTCCAGAGTAAAACTTTAAAACACGACGATAAACGAACTTTTACTCACTGAAAAACAGGTCAAGTGTGTCAGGGTCTGTCAGAGTGTGTCAGGGTCTGTCAGAGTGTGTCAGGGTCTGTCAGAGTGTGTCCAGAGGTGTCAGAGTGTCTGTCAGAGTGTGGGGTCTGTCAGAGTGTGTCAGAGTGTGTGTCAGGGTGTGTCAGAGTGTGTCAGGGTCTGTCAGGGTGTGTCAGGTCTGTCAGGTGTGTCAGTCAGGGTCTGTCAGAGTGTGTCAGGGTCTGTCAGTGTGTGTCAGGGTCAGGTGTCAGGGTGTGTCAGGGTGTGTCAGGGTGTGTCAGGGTCTGTCAGAGTGTGTCAGGGTGTCAGGGTCTGTCAGAGTGTGTCAGGGTCTGTCAGAGTGTGAGTCAGGGTCTGTCAGGTGTGTCACAGGGTGTCAGGGTGTCAGGGTGTGTCAGGGTGTGTCAGGGTGTCAGGGTCTGTCAGGGTGTGTCAGGGTCTGTCAGAGGGTGTGTCAGGGTCTGTCAGAGTGTGACAGGGTCTGTCAGGTGTCAGGGTGTGACAGGGTGTCAGGGTCTGTCAGAGTGTGTCAGGGTCTGTCAGAGTGTGTCAGGGTCTGTCAGGGTGTGACAGGGTGTGTCAGGGTCTGTCAGAGTGTGTCAGGGTCTGTCAGTGTGTGTCAGGGTCTGTCAGAGGTGTCAGTCAGGGTGTCAGGGTCTGTCAGGGTGTGACAGGGTCTGTCAGAGTGTGACAGGGTCTGTCAGTGTGTGATTGTCTCCACTCGGCCCCGGGGGTCCTGTGGGGCAGTGTAGAGGCAGGTGTAGACCCTGTCAGCGCAGGGCGGCAGGTGCAGGTGCAGGTGCAGGTGCAGGTGCAGGTGCAGGTGCAGGTGCAGGTTGCAGGTCTCTGGGGTTTTTCTCCTGCAGGTTCCTGGAGTTTGTGAAGTTTAGACAATTTAGATCATTTAAGAAACAAAGAAGAAGAAGAAGATGAAGATGAAGAAGATGAAGAAGGGCTGTTTACAAAGACCAGGACGAGGAGACGAGGAGGCAGGAGACGAGGAGGCAGGAGACGAGGAGGCAGGAGACTAGTCCTGGTCCATTCCTGATTCAATGATTAAACAAATGTGTCTCCTACCACCTGATGACATCACACTGTGGATGAAGTGTTTTGAGCCTCTCTTCTTCTCCTCTCTTCTTACCTCTTCGTTTCCTCCTCTCCTCTCTCCTTGTCTCCTCTCCTCATCTCCTCGTCTCCTGTTGTTCTTCTGGGTGAAGGGCTGTTTCTGTCGTCCGCTCTGTGCGGCTTTTGTCATTTGAAATAAACTTAAAAGAACATTTGCTGCTTTTATTTTGACTCTTTCCTCCTCAGACTCTGTGACGGGCCGCGCTCTTATTGTGAAAGGTCCTGTGTGAATCGCCCGCACTTCCTGTTCTTCAAAAAATAAAATAAAACAAAAAAACTTTCACCTGTTGTTCCACCTGTGTCCACCAGGGCGCGCCACATCCCACCAGCCAAGGAAGAGGCCCACACAGACCTGGTCCAGCCCTGGTTTAGACCTGGTTTAGTTCTTGTTTAGTCCTAGTCCTGGTTTAGACCTGGTTTAGTCCTGGTTTAGTCCTGGTTTAGTCCTGGTTTAGTTCTTGTTTAGTCCTGGTTTAGTCCTGGTTTAGTCCTGGTTTAGTCCTGGTTTAGTCCTGGTTTAGACCTGGTTTAGTCCTGGTTTAGTCCTGGTTTAGTGGTTTAGTCCTGGTTTAGTCCTGGTTTAGTCCTTTAGTCCCTGGTTTAGTCCTGGTTTAGTCGGTTTAGTCCTGGTTTAGACCTGGTTTAGAGACCTGGTTTAGTCCTGGTTTAGTCCTGGTTTAGTCCTGGTTTAGACCTGGTTTAGTCCTGGTTTAGTCCTGGTTTAGTCCTGGTTTAGTCCTGGTTTAGACCTGGTTTAGTCCTGGTTTAGTCCTGGTTTAGTCCTGGTTTAGTCCTGGTTTAGTCCTGGTTTAGACCTGGTTTAGTCCTGGTTTAGTCCTGGTTTAGTCCTGGTTTAGTCCTGGTTTAGTCCTGGTTTAGTCCTGGTTTAGTCCTGGTTTAGACCTGGTTTAGTCCTGGTTTAGTGGTTTAGTCCTGGTTTAGTCCTGGTTTAGTGGTTTAGTCCTGGTTTAGACCTGGTTTAGTCCTGGTTTAGACCTGGTTTAGTCCTGGTTTAGTCCTGGTTTAGTCCTGGTTTAGTCCTGGTTTAGTCCTGGTTTAGACCTGGTTTAGTCCTGGTTTAGTCCTGGTTTAGTCCTGGTTTAGTCCTGGTTTAGTCCTGGTTTAGACCTGGTTTAGCCCCTGGTTTAGTCCTGCCTGGTTTAGCTGGTTTAGTCCTGCTGGACGTGCCTCAGTATTTCAGCATGACTCTGTGTAAATATGAATATTAAAAATAATATTTTAAAATAATATGAAGTTTAAAATAAAAAATGTGCAGATCAAAGTTTTTATTGACAAACAGCAGAACTACAATAAAACACTTCATTTCCCAGATTCTCCACAAATGCAGAAAAAGAGTTTCACTTTAAACAGGAAAGATTTTGAATAAATGTTTCTGAATAAATCTTTATTTTTACAAAGTGACGTCAGTGAAACAAACGGCTCCATGAAACTTTTCAAACATTCAGAGACGTTTTAAATCCTCCTCACGTCATTTCACACAGAATCACACTTCTCCTTGTCAAACATGAGCTCAGTGAGACCGAGTCCACGGACCCGAGTCCACGGACCCCCCGAGTCCACACACCCCGAGTCCACACACCCCGAGTCCACACACCCCGAGTCCACCCCCGACCCGAGTCCACACCCCCCCGAGTCCACCACCACCGAGTCCACGGACCCCCGAGTCCACACGAGACCCCCGAGTCCACACACCACCACGAGTCCACGGACCCCCGAGTCCACACACCCCCCGAGTCCACACACCCCCGAGTCCACACACCCCCCCGAGTCCACACCCCCGAGTCCACACCCCCGAGTCCACGAGTCCACCCCCCGAGTCCACACCCCCGAGTCCACACACCCCCCGAGTCCACACCCCCGAGTCCACACACCCCCCGAGAGTCCACACACCACCCCGAGTCCACACCCCCCCCACACCCCCGAGTCCACGAGACCCCCCGAGTCCACACCCCGAGTCCACGAGTCCACGAGTCCACACCACCCGAGTCCACGAGACCCCCCCGAGTCCACGGACCCCCGAGTCCACACACCCGAGTCCACACCGAGTCCACACCCCCCCGAGTCCACACCCCCCCGAGTCCACACACCCGACCCACCACCACCGAGGACGAGTCCACACCCGTCCACCGAGTCCACGTCCCAGTCCACGTTTCCACGTGTGTTGTTTGTGTTGTTTGTTTGTGTGTGTTTGTGTGTGTTTGTTTGTGTGTGTGTTTGTGTGTGTTTGTGTTGTGTGTTGTGTGTGTTTGTGTGT